TGAATAAATTAAATATTCGAATATTCAATTTGGTGAAAAAAATCTTATTCGAATATTCGAATATTCAGTAAATATTTAAATATACTATTCATCAAATCAGACCTCTACTCTACACTATCTAATAACAATTGGAAAAGATTTCTAGACAACTATTCTATTCATATAGCTCTCACTACCTATATTACCAAAATGAATCGAGAAAACACTAAACCAACCACTAAGGATAACAATAATATCACCTCTGTCAAATGTTTTGTAGATTTGAAGGATCATACTTACTCTGCTATTATTGATAGTGAAGCTTCTATTAGTATGATTGCTCACAAAGTTGCAAAAGAATTAGGATTAAAAATAGATAAACCTTCAAAAACTTTAATTGTAGCTATCACAGAAACTACCTCTTAACCTCTTGGAATCATTTGAAACCTAACTGCCAAGATTTAAGGTTGAACTATTCCTATTAATATAGAAGTAGTGCCTGCTACCTCATACTTGTTACTTTTGAGAAATAACTAGTTTAAAAAAGTTGAAGCAAACTATAACTAGAAAAATTATCAATATACTATGTATTAAAAGGAAAGAAGCTTATAATTGATACTTCTTATGAGCAAGAAAAGCCCAAAGAAAAGCAATCTACTTGCATTACCCCAGAAGACTTTGAACTATATAAGCAGGAATATCTAACCTCTCAAGAAGCCTATGCTTTTACTACAACAAATGAAGGAGAGGAAGGATGAACTACCTATACACCCTAGTATAGAAGCTTACCAAAATGTAAAAATTGTAGTTTTAAAGACTACTAGTATAAAGATTGCCTCCAGAATAAATACAAATATTGCTATTAGATAGGCCATATTGTTATTAACTGCTCAAACAAACAAAATAGAAAAGCTAATTGTAAAAATTGTAACCAAAACTGACCACCTATTCAAGAACTGCCCCCAGAACTTGTATTTTGGTTATAAGCAACTATGATATATTAAAATTAATTGTTCTTTAGCACAACAAAAATTAGACAATCTAACTTATTATTGTAGTTGTAATAAAACTCAGATAGAAGCAAAAAGGCTTGATTATTATAGCAGATGTAAAACTCATTACTGCTATCAATGCCTAACTTTACAGACACCAGACAAGTTATATCTTTTAGATAACCAGCTTACCTGTACTGTTTGTTATAAGATATTCCATAAAGAACTAGAATTAAATAACCCATGTAGTCAAGAATATTATCAAAATAGACTAGGAAGAGGACTCTTGTCTATTGTAAAATTTGTAATTATTAGAAACCTAGAACAAAAATACATTGATTAGAAAGCATTTGAGAAGAGCTTTGGTTTTGTAAATTAGAGTACATGTATATATGTATATAAAGTATACCAAGATTTAATTTACAATGAAAATTACAAAATTTGGATAAGAATTAGATATTATACCAAATCTAGCCAGAATGCAAGATACCAATACAATCTTAATCAAAGTAGAATTTATAGACTAGCTCAAGCTTTAGTAGAAGAGAAAAATCCTAGCCAAATAACAGAATTACTAATAGAACAAGATAATGACCAATATAATTGTAATTGAACCACTGATAAAATTAATATTCTTCTTCAAACAAACCAACAAGCAACTTTAACTAAAAAGGAAGAAGCTACTCTGCAGAGAATTTTGCAAGAATCATTTAATATTTCATATCCTAACTTTGATTCTCACAAGGTCTTAGAAAATTTATATAAAAACTTTGAAGGCAAAGTAGCACTTTGCTTAGAATGTCTTTATGCCAGACAAACTGAAGAGTTAGATATAAATCAAAAACTTTGCAATGAGTGTTATCAGGAGCTAAATAAGTTAACACTCTTAGAAAATATAAAACCAAAAGCCTCTACTTCCAATACTTCAATGAAAAATGAAAAAGAAATTGAATTAATAACTAGAAACAAAGAAAAAGAAAAGAAAGCAGATACAGAAACTTAACAAGAAATTTTTGAGCAACTAGAAGCATGTGTTCAATATCTAGAAGAGATGAATGAACAATTAACAAACTTCTTCAAAGACCAGATCTTATATCACCAAGAGCAAGCCAAATATTATTCCAAACTATATTTCTAATGAAATTTTTAAACTATCCTAGGTATGATGAAAAACTATCTGAAGACTTAGAAGATTTATTAACAGAAGAACAAGCTTTGTAGCTGGTTCTGCAAAAGAATGCAATTAAATATAACTTTGTATATACTATAGATATTCTAATTTCATATAAAAAATATATATTAAAAAAGACAGATACAGTTAATGTTGGACTATTAACTAAGAAACAAGGAAAGAAATTTATAGCCTTATTAGAAGAATTTGCAGACCTATTTGCAAAAGATATTTCAGAACTAGAATATACCAACCTAGTACAGCACAGAATTTATACAGAAGATATACCTCAATAAAATCATGATCTTATAATGTACCTCTAGATAAACAAGATTTCATCAAAGAAAAAATAAAAAGAATGTTAGAAAGTAAAATAATTTGACCCTCAAAAAGCCTATAGGCATTCCCTGTTGTTTTTGTATAAAAAAAGAATAGCAAACTAAAATTTTGTGTTGATTATAGAAAGTTTAATAGAATTACTAAGAAAGATACATTTCTATTATCTCGAATTCAAGAAATGCTAAATACTTTATTAGGATCAAAATAGTTTTCGATTCTTAATCTTGCTAGTGGATATTGGCAAATCAAAATGGATCGAAAGGATAGGAAAAAGACTACATTTATTACAAAGTATGGGATATATGAATTTGATGTTATGCTCTTTGGACTCTCAATGCCTCTGCTACATTTCAATGATTAATAAACTAAGTTTATAGAAGAATTGCCTAGAAGTTTGTAGTTGTGTATCTAGATAATACTAATATATTTTCTAAAACATTTGAGGAACATTTAGAACATTTAAAAATAGTATTTAGACATATTAGAGATGCAGAATTAAAACTTAATATAGAAAAGTGTAATTTCTGGATAAAATCTTTACCTTTCTTAGGATATATTATTAGTAAAAATAGAATAGCCCCAGACCTAGCAAAATTGGAAATAGTACAAAAGATTTAACTTCCAACTATTACTACCAAACTACAATCGTTTCTTGGACTTATTAGATATTACTGACAATTTATTTAAAACTTTTCATCAGTAGCTCAATCACTAAATCAACTACTGCATAAAGATATACTCTATTATTAAAGAAGTAAACAACAACAAGCATTTAATATATTAAAAAAGAAACTTATAATAGCACCTATATTAGCTTATCCAGATTTTAGCAAGAGATTTATACTTGCTACAGATGCCTCATATCACAGATTTGGAGCTACTCTTAGCCAAAAAGATAGAGATAGCAAGGAGCATTCTATTGCTTATACAAGTAAAAGTTACCAATCTGCCAAACAGAATTATTTTGCAACAGAACTTGAATGTGTTGCTATAGTATAGGCTATAAAACATTTTCATAGCTATTTGGGAACTACTGAATTTACTCTAGTAACAGACCACTTAGTATTAAAATAGCTTAAAACTGCTAAACTAAAGGATAAATTGGATGATGGATTTTGAAACTCAAACCTTATAATTTTACAATTATGCATAAATCTGGAAGAATTCACTCAAATGTGAATACTTTATCAAAAATCTAATTAAAATATAATATTATGAATTTAGATTAGTATTATAATTTATATAATTATTTAAACATAGAAACTATATCTACAGACTTTACTACTTATTAACGAAAGCAACTTCAGAACCAAGCAAAATACTTCAAAATTAAAGACAACCTTTTGTATAAAAGAAACAAAAAGAATCCAGACAAGCCATTACAAGTTATAAAATAGACAGAAGTAAACTCAGTACTCTATATAATATATAGTCATCCTATTGCAGGACATTTAGAAATTGATACTATATATTATAAAATTTCAGAAAGATATTATTGGGATGGAATGTATAGAGATATTAAAGAATATGTGAAAACTTATAAAGTTTGCCAAAAACAAGACAAGTCATGAAGAAAGGAACTCTTACACCTGATAAAGATTAAACAAGCCTTCAAACGAGTTGGAATAGACTTGGTAGAACTATTACCTATTACTAATCAGAAAAACCGCTATATAATCGTTGCTACAGATTATCTAACATAATGGCCAAAAGCACAAGCTGTACCAGATGCTAGTGCTGCCACACTTGCCCAATTTATTTTTACTAAAATAGTTTGTAGATATGAAATACCTAAAATTATTCTCTCAGATCAAGAATCAAATTTTAGAATTGATATGATTTGAATTTTGTATGAAAAGTTCCTAATATGACACAAATTTTCGTCACTATATTACTTACAAACTAATGGAATGGTTGAACAATTAAATAGAATATTATGTGAATCACTTGCAAAAGTTGCTACAAGCAAGAATTGGAATATTATTTACCACTTGTACTATTTGTATACCAAACTAAAAAGTATGCAACTACAGGATATACCCCATTTTAGTTAGTTTATAAAAGACAAGCTACTTTACCAATTAAATTAATTTTACCAACTTCAAAACCAGAACCAGAAATAGACCTTGAAGATAGTATTTTAACCAGAGCCTATGAGTTAATAGACTAGTTAGAAGAAAGTCAAGATCAAGCTAAAAAGAATACAATAGCATTACAACAAAAACAAAAAGAAAGACATGATGTTCGAATAACATCAGTAGAATTTGAAATCAGAGATAAAGTTTGGATTCAATATAAAGATATTGCTGCCTCACATTCTGTCAAATTTGAAGAAAAGAGAAAAGGACCTTATATAATATATGCCAAACTTGAAAATGGTGTATATAAACTACGAACTAACAAAGAACAAATATTAAAGCAGTATTATAATAGTGATAGACTTGAAAAATATTATAAACAACAGGGATAGAAACTACAAGTTATTATCGAAACTCAATAGACAAAAACTCATAATTTTATTAACAATTAGCCAATTTTATTAGACAATATATTATATATTTTATTACAACTTTATTAGATTAAATTTAAAAATTAAAAATTTTATTATAGAAATAAAAAAAAAAATAAAATAAAAAAACTACAAAGAAAGAAAGAAACACTAGCTCAATCTAAAAAAATCCTTGACCACCCTCCAACATACACCTTAATGCCAAAATCTCTGCCTTCAAATCTTCAATTTCTGTTTCCAAATCAGCAACCCTAACTCATAACCTATTTTGCTCCAAATGCAACATACTCAACTAAGTTTCATATTGGTAGTTTTGCCAAATCAACTCAACGGAATCACGTTTTTGCTACTGTGCCTACAAATTTGCCACTTGATTCTGCAAGCTTCGAATTATTGCTTGGACAGATTGGCTATGGTTGGTGCGAGGCATCTAAATAGTAACAATAAAAGTGTTGTTAGAAAAAGAACACTTTTTTCAAGTAAATATACTTAAAAACAAGAATATAGAAAAAGAATAGAAAAAGGAAATGACAAAGAGAAAAGTATCCACCCAAGGCCAAACAGTCAAAGGCAACTGATTGAGCTGAAGCTGCTATGAAGCTACCAAGAAAAGTCAGCTTACTCAAAATGGATGACCGACTATTACCCCAAAAGTATCAAAACTAACAAAGTTAAGCTCATGGTCCAAAAAGTATATACACCTTAGAACAAAGCAAGAGAAAAAGCAAGCAAGGCAAGAAGAGATTTTTAAGAAACTACAACTAAAAAAAAAAAAAAAAGTATTAAACAAAAAAAGTTTTTAACATAAAAGAATAATAGAAAGGAATATTACCAAGAAAGAAAGAATTATGTATGAAAATTAGAAAATGAAACACATAGAAAACATGAATATAAATAGAATTTGAACAATAAGATAATTTTTTCTATTTAGAAAAATTATCACATAGCATGAACAAAGAAAATCAAAACAATAATGATGTGATTTACAAATTTAGAAAAACATGCGACAAATCAGATTGTAGAAGCTAAATTTAAATAGACAAAAAGGGAAGTTTGGTAGACCTTACAAATTTTAAGAGAGAAAAGGACAAAGAACTATTAAAAATAGATTAGGCTAAAAAATTTTGCCAAGTATTGCCAAGCCATGGCTAAAATAAATACAAAACATGTAGGAAATACTAAATAAAACATATATAAACAAATTGTAGCATGTGAGAAACACAAAGAACAAGCATAGGTTAAATAAAATAGAAAAGATGTTTCAACTCTATGGTATGAACAACCACTTTAACGGATATTTAAAGGCCAGAAATTTACCTTTTCT